TACGACCGCGTAACAACGAAATCTGCGCAGAAACGGGCAGATGACAGGGAGACAAAAAACCTGTTGGAAGAGCACAACATGTCCGAATACAAACCGAGCCCTGAACTGAATGGATTTTTATCAGATAACCAAGCAACGAAACAAGCGACAAGCGACAACGCCCAACTGCCTTCGTGTGAAGATAATACTGATCCAACGATGAGAGAGGTGGCGCTGGAAATGAAAAATATAGCAGGCCATGACGAAAACCAGCGAATGATTTCGCCTGTAGACAAACAGATAACAATAGAGAAGGAGCTGTCAACGGAAGTCTTTACTGCCGAAGTCAGTGACGGGGGTAGAAAGTCGAAGTTCGTGACAATGGTGAAGTTGTTAGTGCAGCCAGAAACGTTGAGACCGCTATTTCTCACCGTATCCTTTTTCTCGTTTTATGGCTTTGGAGGAATGCCATCCATCAGGCCATTCTTGGTGGAAGTGATCGACAACTTCCACACCCCAATTAAAGGATCATGGAGCTCGGTAAGTCGATTACAGCGCTCAAGATTTGAGCAGACAACTGATTTAAGCGGTAATACACTCCATTTTACTAAAGCTACTCCCGTTTCCTCTTCGGCTAATTTAACGACCCCTCCCGATACTCAGAGACTGATTTTATGTTGAATGCAATTCACAAAATGCATGTCAATATATATACGTCACATGAAAGCGAGTACTTTTTTTTTTAGTATTCTACTTCGTATCTTCTGCACAGCAAACATTTATTCATGATCGAGGTCTTCTGGGTTATGACGCCGTGTTGTGTTTCGGAGAAATATCTCGCCTCCATCTTCAGGAAATGGAGACGACAGTTTCCACCGCTGTGTTTACGAAGAAACCTCAAAGAAGCCATCGTGTTACAGGTTGCGATGGCGGTCACAGGGTTCCTGGGCAGTGTGGTAATGATCGGCTCGGTCAACAGGCTCGGGAAGAGGTCGTTAGCGATGTCTAGCGTCGCCGTCTGCGCCTTGTCGTGCCTGCTGCTCGGGGTGTACGACTACCTTTTCGTCGACAGAGCCACGTGGGTGCCGCTGGTTCTGTTCACAGTGTTCTCCTTCGCCAATAGTATTCAAGGGCAGATACCGTGGCTGCTTGTAGCTGAAGCCTTCCCGTTCAGGTACTGTGCAGACCGACAACTGTCGCCGTCGGTGTGATTTCAGGGTACACGTTGACCCATGAGGTCTGTGGCCATTTCTAGTATGTACTTTGTTCCGACAGTGGCCAGACTACCTTGTGTCCTGACTTGAGACGTTCCACGTTTCTTCTCAGTCTCTCCATGCAAATTACGTAATGGTACTAACCCCCAATTGGTCAAGATGGCCTCTGTCCAAATATCTTCGTATTTGCAACCTTCCCATCTTATCAGACTCTGTGTAACAGCTGCAGCTGAAACAGTGTCATCAAAACTATATTTGATTCAAATTGTTTCAAAAAGTTCCTTTGCCAAATTCTGTACATATTATTTGTTTCCTTCTACATATTCACGCCAAGCTGATGGCTGTTCCTATTAACAAGAAATTTGATGTTACGTACCGAACCTGAAGATTCATAACCGAAGTCACAAATGTCCACCTTTGATCACTGTCTTTAGCCAACCGTCCCTTACTGATTTATTTAAGATCTATATCCAAATGACCTCTGCCTTTCAAGTATCAAAACCAAATTTTTAATCTATCCCAGCATTCTACATGTCCCACCCAATCCATTTCCTTCATTTGTTCATCCTAATATCTGATGTAGACTACAAATCCTGAAGCTACTCATTACGCAATTTTCTCCATCATCCTCCTACTTTTTGTCTGGCAAGTAATGTTTCTCAAGCAGTAACCGAGTACGATATGGCTACATAAAACATACATTTATTCAGGACGAGGGGACTGGCAGGTGGAATGGCAGCAGCATCCAATTACATCGCATCCTTCATCGCTGCAAAGACGTTCCTCAGTACCGAGCACAGTCTGCAGATGTATGGCTCCTTCTGGTTCTTCGGTGTCGTCAATTGCCTGTGCTTCGCTTTCCTGTACTTCCTGCTGCCCGAGACAGAGGGAAAGTCTCTGGAGGAGATAGAGCACCTGTTTGCAGGCAACAAGGACCACAAGTGAATCCTCCAATTACATCGCAGGTCTCCACAAGAGGAACGACCTGTCTGTGCCCATTCAAATGTCAGCAGTCGACCACAGCGGCACAGTGTTGGTAACTTGAATGCTGGTTTCGCAGGTCTGAACCTGGCTTGAAGAAACGTAATTTTCATGGTTTTTGTTCTGTGCATGTAAAAGTCTTGCAGTGAAATGATCTCTTACTGAAGGAGTCATACTATGTGTAATCAATTAAATACAATAAAGGGAATCCCCACACACACCGTTAATTGGCGATCAAAGGAAACGAATTAAAACACATACGAATAACATAACATGGCACGTTCATGTACAGCGTGCTTTATTTCAGCCACGTCTGCTATATATTTATTTGAAAATTCCCCCAATATCAAATGTTATGGAAATCCATTTTGCTGTTCTTGATTTGTTATACGCATACAGACACAAAAAAATCTGCATATGCTTCCTCATCACATCATTAAACACAGCAAAATGGAGAAAAATGTCATGTCTGACAGCAATAATACCATATTCTTCTATCCCCTTCAAATCCAAGGCCTGTCGGAGAGTTCAATGCCAGCTGTAGTAGTAATCAACGGTACCATCCCCAATATTAACTTCATCTCAGACCTCCTATTTTACAATTCAGTTTCACATGTGTTAATAAAAAATTTCTGAAACTGTGTTACGCTCTTTTTCTCCTTCTGTGGCTCTCCGGTCCATATTCGGTCCACGGCCTCCTCAATTCTCCTCTTCCATTTGGTCCTCTGTTAGGCCCGTCTGTCCGAGGCTTTGATCGAGGTTTCGAAAAATCTTCCTTTTTACGGCGCAAGGTTGTTAGCCTTGCGACCAACCCCCAACCTGGAGGACCAGGGTACCTGTCTTAGTCCGACCTCTATGTTGTTATGATATCTTATGCTTTTATTGTAGGAACTGCCGGCCTAAGTTTATAAAATGGTTCAATGATGAATTATGAACAACATGCAAAGGTGAGCATCGTACTTGGCCACGTGTAGCCACTGACCTGGAGGATGGACGTGAGACTGACGGTGACGTAACAGAATTAACTGCAACAAATGTGTCTGTCCAGGATAACCAGATTAGCGGCATGAAATCGGAAGTGGGTAAGAGGCGTCATTATGTCAATAAAAACCTTTATTATCAAATAATTAAGTTAGGAGTGGGAAGAGGAGAACTGGACCACACACCAAGTCTCAACAGGCAGACACCCTGGCACAATTCACCAACAAAATAAGACTTCAGCTATAACTGTTTACGTAAAACCACGCGCAAATCTCTGCACTGCGTCAATGAAAGGATAAATTCTTCCACTACAGTGTTCCTGCTCAATGAAATACTACTTTACAGATGCGTCTCAGTATCAGGAACCAGTGCAGGGTTTGCAGTAGCCCACTCCTCAGGCACCCTCGATGACAATCTGCCTTTTTTCAACAAATTCCGAGACCCTTCAAAATGCTCCTGAATCTCAAGCAAGGTCCTACCCTCTGTTTCTGGCAGAAAGAAATAAAACCAGACTGACCCTACCAAGCTGACCACACCATAAAACCAAAATGTTCCAGGCAATGTCATGGAATTCAGCATGTAAAAATATGTCTTATTTGCTGCAAAACCAAAAATGTACCCAACAGATCCCGAAGCTCCGCTGGCAACGCTGCGGATCTCCGACGGAAACACTTCGCCGATCAGTATCCACGGCAACAGACGGATGCCAACATGAGACAAGAATGCTGACGCGATAAGGAAAGTCAACGGCAACCATTCGTACGAATTACGGGAAGAGTAGAAATATGCATATGCGGCCACAACGATATAACACAATCCATTTCCAACAGTCGACACAAAGGTGAGGGGTCGCTTCCCCGCCCAGTGTACCAGGATAACACAAATTAGAGCACCTGCCAGCTCCACAACACCCAGGTACAGCGTTGCGACATACTTGTCAATTGGAGCGCCCAACGCGGCAAAGATGCTGACAGCGTACGTCTGTAGTGTTGTCATCCCTGCAAAGTGGCCGAAGAAGAACCCGGCCGATACAAGGCAATAGGGTTGTACAAAGGTGCGTTTTGCATAGTTACGCCACGAGTAGCAGGAAGGCCTGGAGGAGACTGAAGGCGCGCAGTGTTTGTTCGAGAGGTTTTTAGCCGAGATAGAAGACACCAGTTGCATCAGTTCGTGTTGTACCTCGTGGGGCTCTACCCAGCCTCTTAGCCAGCACAATGACTTCTCGGCATCAGCCACTCGTCCATGACCTGAAATAAAAATGTTTGCATATTATCGCCAGTACACGTAATAATGTTCAAATACCTAGGAATAACAGCACAAGTAAAATTAATTTTTTTTTTATGAAATTAGAAATGAGAAAAATATCTGTATCTACCTAAATAAATAACTTATTTACTCCAGGACATAGCAGGGTCTTCCTTAAGAAGCTGACAGCTAATCAACTGGTCAAGATTTTCCCCACTTTTAAGGAAATCAGAGGTTCATCATCATTTTACAAAAGCCTTCCATTGGGCTCTATCCTGAGCCAGCTGAATCCAATTCAAAATTATATACTAATCCTCTCATTTATCGTAGTTCTCCGACACGGTTGCATCTCTAGTGTCTAACCACCAAAACTTTAAATAATTTCTCATTCTCCCCTATTAGAATATTTGAATCTAAGCGACATTGCATAACAGTGAGCTTCATATCTTATTCAAAGTATATTAAAATTTTTTTTTAAAATTATCAGCCTCCAGGCTTTCTCGGCTCTTGAACATACCAATTAGCCAATAAGGACTCTCTGGAACGAAGCAGATTGCGATTATGGCAACCAGAGGAAAAATAACATTGATGGCTGCAATGGTTCGCCAGGCGAGCACCGTTCCCATCAGGAACTGGATGAGGATCCCGAGAATGACGCAAGTGGAAGAGGTGGCGGACAACATGCCTCTCAGGTGCGGCTGCGTGATCTCTGCCACGTAGGTCAGAACCTGCGATAAGGCAGGTGTACGAACTGTGTGAAACAGGATCATCAAAGAGAATGCGTAATTTCCAAACTTCTCTTAACGATGTAATAATTAAAGATAATTAATGTCGCCACAACTTTAAACACTCGGCAACTTACTGGTGCTTCCATGATGCCACCTCCAAATCCTGTAAGCACGAGGCTGGCATACAACATGCCGACGTTCACGGAATAGTGAAACAAGATCCAGGCCACGATGAATGGAAAATTCACCATAATCATGGCACGCTTTCGACCCAGTGGCTGAGTGATAGCTCCAGATACGAGACAACCCAGAGGCACACAGATCAGGTTGATGCTGCCTGCAACACAACACAGCGTACCAACGTTGAAATTTAAATGCGTGTCATTAAGAATAAGTGCAATAAATGGTTATAATCAGAGAAGTGGTATTTTAGTGTCGACGTCTAGTGAAGGTTGTTCCGTAACTCAATGCAGTCAGTTATAAGACGGTTTTCCGCCGAGAGGCCCACGTTAAATCACAGAGTACATCGTGCAGGATACGTGGTAGACAAATGGCCCCAGGGACATGTTTGCCTCCAAATACCTCAGCTTCTTTCCACTTCCCATCTTCATCCCACAAATATTTTATTATTTTCTATCGCAACACTGAAGGTAGAGGTAATAGAGCTTTACAAATTTAATTTTACGCTTCTGGCAATGAAGTGACAGTAATAAAGTCTGCTGTATTTCCATTTATGTGCTGTTCAATGTTATTGGTGTACAGTCACATTTTATTTTGAAGCCCGAGTGATGCTATTCACTCACTGAACCAAGAAATCTGCTCTTCTGTGAGGCTGAACGTATCCTTCTCGCGCATGTCAGTCACATTGCCGTGGCCTGGCTGCAGCGAGGGGATCACGATGGTGGGGAATCCGAGTGTCATCCCGTAACCCAGGAGCAGAATATTCTTTGCTGATGTTGCCAGAATCTGCAACAGAAAATTGACAGTCTAGCGAGACCACGGACAGAAACAGATGGACCGGAACTGATTAAGTTAACGAACAGATTAATATGTATAATAATGCGTATCATATTCGTACAGTCAGATAGAAAAGAATGTAAGAAACAATTTTTCTTACCTGCGGCAGTGCGGTGCGAAATGTTTTCTTGGAGTCCGCGACGTTCGGGACGGGACACTTCTCGTTGCTAGGATACTGGTCATCATGGTTTCGCTTCTGACTTCAAGGAGAACAAAACAATGTGTTATCAAACTGTGGGCCATCAGACACTTTTTTGAAAATATACATCTTATAAAGGAAATATCAGCGGTTAAGCTTAAATTTGAGATGGCGGTCCAGAGATAGTATTTTCTCCAACTCCACACATCAGAGCCCATATTGAGAAGCTAAGAGTCAAGAAAGATGAGTCCAGTACCACATCTTCAACCATATTTCTTTATTGTCTACAAGTCTGTTAAAAATCTCAAAATCATTCGGCCTATTCTAAAAGATTTCACAATGATCTGCCTGTCATTGAAATATCCATCTATATAAATTCTAAAACCTACATTAAAATCCAAGTCTTTGTTGAAATCAACACGCTCTCTTGAAATTACTTGAAATGGCGTAATCTTTCTGCATCTTTATCCCCATCTTGAAAAACCTACTATTTAAAAGTGTTTCCTATCGTGCATTAATGTATTCTACTTCATTGTTTTACGATATTTCCAAATTTCCCGTAGCTGTTAACTGTTCTATACTGTTTGAGGACATTCTTTTGAAGTAAATACGGAAGAAATTACGAAAAACATCCGCCAGAATAATTGGTACATCCTCACAGATCGCGAAAAGGTATCTCCCGAACACCGCCGTTCTTACCCTCTGGCTTCGAGGACAAACAACAGATTAGTTCAAGGATCCGAGAGGCCCACATCAAGAATTCCAGCAATGATGCGTCCCAACAGCTGGCAGGCACGTTCTGCCTTCCTCAAACCGGACTTGAGATTAATGGAAATCCCCGATCTTGTACCTGGGCACAGACGATAGCTCACACGTCCAGGATTTCATGGTTGATCACAACTGCGACTCAAATCAGCCGGTTCAATCAATTTACTTTTCCATTCTTTTATCATTTATTAGTAACTGATCTGTTAAGGGCCTACCGGATTTCTACAACGCGTTCTATTGACCGTGTTAATGCACCTTCTGGTTTCAAGGAAGACGTGAATTTCCCGATTATTACCTTATCTACAAGGACTCTGCTACATGAAGCTCGTCAAACAGTTATAACCATTTTGTTGGACTTATACGAGGCGCGTCCACAAAGTAAGTTTCCCACTCGTCCCACAGCTAGCAAACCTTATATTGCGCGAAGCGACTGTGCGTACGTGATAGAGCAATGACGTAGCATGGCGCATGCACTAACGGAACTTCCCGCGTTCTCACATTAGCATCGTTGCAGCTGTTGAAGATGGAGGTTCTTATTCCAGCTCCCGCCGCCTGTGAAGTGCGGTCAGTGATAACGCTAGGCCGCACCCGGCTCGACGGACAGCAAGTCTCCTGCCGGAGTTCAGCTGGGAGGTGTTTAATCATTCACCCTACAGCCCGGATCTCGCTCCCAGTGATTTCCATCTTTTCCTACCCCTCAAGAAATTCCTGTCCGGTCAGCGTCAGCGTTTTGAGAATGACAGAGAGGCGGAGATGGTTGTCACACAGGGGTTCCAATCCCAGGCGGCAGACTTCTACGACACAGGTATTCAAAAGTTGGTCCCACGGTATGACAAATGTCTCAATTCCGGTGGCGAATATGTTGAAAAATAGCTGGACACTTGCTGTATCTGTTGCAATAAATATTTCCATGAAATTGTGTTTTGTTTCTGTAAACGGCCCCAGGGAAAATTACTTTGTGGACGAGCCTCGTATGTCATTCAACTCGTTTGTTTAAAATCACGACGTTTCGAAAGTTCGTTTTACTTCCTTCTTCAAGTCAGCTACTGGAGGACAAAACCTCACTCTCTTGATCCCACTGACCCCGCTAGTTCCAACGTCGGACCCGCGGCTGAGACTAACTCGAAAAAAGGATTTTAAAAAAATAAAAGGGACGCTCTTAGTGGATAAAGTCCAGCAAAATAATTTGTTGTATGTATCACGTCACTCAACAGCCCGAAACCTTTAAACTTCCCTAATTATTTTAACCTCGATCTAACATAACTTTAAACAAATAAAACAATAAAGAGTTCAACTTCATCGGCTGAATCTGAGGAGAGGTCAGTTGTGGCGTAATTATTAATGTTCCATGGTACTGGACGTCATGAACACTTCATACTCTCTCGTGCGGTCAGTGAATGCCACGCTATTATGGAATCCAATGTTAAGCAAAGTGAAATGAGTCAAAGTTCTACTGAGATTCAAATCGCTTCTGAAAAGTTCAGAGTACGCATATCGTTAGCTGCTGGTCACATTGCCGCAGAACTATTTCGAAGACGGAGGTTAAACAATACGATCCAAGATCCATAAATATTGTATTTCAAATAAGACAGAATTTTCACATAATTATTTATATAAATAATTTATGTGACATCTGTCCAGATCATGTACGATATTTATGACAAAGTTCAACTGTTTTACAGTACTTCGTCGTAATACACTCGCGTTTCCTGTTTAACTTCACTGAAATTAACATGACTTAATGTACCTTAAGTCGAGAATTCGATGTCAATAAATACAAACACGGCCTAATGAATTGTAAATGAAATTTTCATACGGCATAGTAATCACCAGAATTATAACAAACATTAAAGACACATAAAAAAATGTATAGTATTCAAGAATTACGCGAACTTCGTACGTAAGACGAAAGTACAGTATCATTTTCCACTTTCAATAACAGCGGTTCAAAATGACATTTGCCAATGGGCTTCATGTGTTTGTTTATTTATTTCACAAACAAACCTACTGTAGACACAGCAGAAATATTAAGGACTACATCGAGGGGACTTATAAATTCTATCAAAAACAGAACTAAACAGTAGTTGAAATTACACTGCAAGAGCACGTTTTATTTATTTAATGTCGAAACATTTTCGATAAACGACATTTTCATGTCTTACTGAGCGTAGTATATTAAACAAATGCATAACAGATATTAACGCCAGTCTGTAAGCAGATATAATTTTGGAAATTACTAAATGATTTTTCTTCCGGGTTGTAAAAAAAATTATTCTGGTAGAAGTTTACCGACGTTTCAGAGGTTCCTGTTGCCTCCATCATCAGGGCGATCGCCCTGATCATAGAAGTAGCAAGTACCTCTGAAACGTCGGTAAACTTCTAAGAGGCTAACGGCGTAAGACCTAGGTGACTGTCACCTTCAACATAAGTTTAAATTTACATCAAGTTAAAATATAATTTTATAGATTTTCTCAAAAACAGCAGAAAATTGGTACACGGATTAAATATGCAGGGTGTGCATCTCATCAAGATATACAACATTCAATTGGAAAAAAATATCCAGACGGCGAATTTTAACGAAATAAAAGCGATAATAACTTCTGCAGTTAATCAACTATGTAATAATGTATATTAATCTGCAATAAATGAACAGGAAATAAAGCTTTCACATTCTATAATAAAGAATTTAGGAAATTTGCTATGTATCTAAATCGAAGTACACTTTCACAACCTGTTTCTTGTGGAAAGGAACCCACAAATATCTTGAGTCACAAACATAGGATACTTACGTATCTGTGTTTCTGTGCGTGCGTGCGTGCGTGCGTACGTATATTATTATTATTATTATTATTATTATTTAGTGTTCTGTCTGACGACAGGTCCATTGCTCTGCCCAAAAAGAGTTCGCCAGTTTTCCTTATTCTCAGCTTCTCGTTTTAATTCCTGGAACGTCATCTTCTTTCCTTGTTTAAGGTCGTCAGTTACTGTATCAGTCTTCTTCCCAGTCCTCGCTTTCCTTCAAGTACGTACGTATATCATCTAGAAAATCACGTGTTGATCACTGAATTCACACGATTTCTTTCCATTGGAAAGCAGCCCAAAAATACACCGGTTCACTTGCAGTAAACTTATAAGTATGCCCTTATTTACATCAGCTAACGGAAAACGTCCGTTACATGGATCACATATTTGAACCGCTTAATTGATAGTGTTTTAACCTTTACAAGCCAATGCGATATTTAAGAAGCCAGTCCGTATCGCGAAGTAAACACCACACTTTACCATTACAAGGATCAAATGGTTAACGCTGTTTAAGGAAATAATCGCTGTTTACACTGAGAATCATAGTTCGTCTGATTAATATTAAAGAATTCAGTCCGTACCGCGAAGAAAACACCGCACTTCACCATTACAAAGATCAACTGGTTAACGCTGTTTAAGGAAATAATCGCTGTTTACACTGAGAATCATAGTTCGTCTGATTAATATTAAAGAATTCAGTCCGTACCGCGAAGAAAACACCGCACTTCACCATTACAAAGATCAACTGGTTAACGCTGTTTAAGGAAATAATCGCTGTTTACACTGAGAATCATAGTTCGTCTGATTAATATTAAAGAATTCAGTCCGTACCGCGAAGAAAACACCGCACTTCACCATTACAAAGATCAACTGGTTAACGCTGTTTAAGGAAATAATCGCTGTTTACACTGAGAATCATAGTTCGTCTGATTAATATTAAAGAATTCAGTCCGTACCGCGAAGAAAACACCGCACTTCACCATTACAAAGATCAACTGGTTAACGCTGTTTAAGGAAATAATCGCTGTTTACACTGAGAATCATAGTTCGTCTGATTAATATTAAAGAATTCAGTCCGTACCGCGAAGAAAACACCGCACTTCACCATTACAAAGATCAACTGGTTAACGCTGTTTAAGGAAATAATCGCTGTTTACACTGAGAATCATAGTTCGTCTGATTAATATTAAAGAATTCAGTCCGTACCGCGAAGAAAACACCGCACTTCACCATTACAAAGATCAACTGGTTAACGCTGTTTAAGGAAATAATCGCTGTTTACACTGAGAATCATAGTTCGTCTGATTAATATTAAAGAATTCAGTCCGTACCGCGAAGAAAACACCGCACTTCACCATTACAAAGATCAACTGGTTAACGCTGTTTAAGGAAATAATCGCTGTTTACACTGAGAATCATAGTTCGTCTGATTAATATTAAAGAATTCAGTCCGTACCGCGAAGAAAACACCGCACTTCACCATTACAAAGA